TCTCTCTGTCTCTGTCTCTCTCTCTCTGTCTCTCTCTGTCTCTCTCTGTCTCTCTGTCTCTGTCTCTCTGTCTCTCTCTGTCTCTCTCTGTCTCTCTCTCTCTCTCTGTCTCTCTCTCTCTCTCTCTCTGTCTCTCTCTCTTTCTCTCTCTGTCTCTCTCTCTCTCTCTGTCTCTCTCTGTCTCTCTCCTTCCCCCCCCCCCCTTTTTTAGACTTGTATCCACTATTCTGAGGATGAGCTCAAGTTCTTCAGCGGCATGGGATAAAATAAGAAAGATCCAGTAGTTGTTATTTATATTAAAGGTCATTACATGCACACCCACCSTTACTTGCTACCTCCTCTAGCTTCCTCTCTAATCCTGCTCTGGAAATGTTCCCTGATAATGCCTGGGCTTTGCCTTTTTCATTATCCTTATGATGTCTGCCAGTGTGCCAAGCGCTCCAGAGACAAACATGCCTCTGAGGATGTGGCGTGTGAAGTTCAGCACAGAAGAAGGAGGGCTAATAAGGCATGAGACTAGACAAGGACAGCTTGCAGACAGAGAGTTTTTACAATTCATCAGTACTTTATTGATAATGGGAATAAATCTAATGCTATAATTGCTAATATATTTAAGGCATTTTCATCCTTGTAAAGAGAGATTGTAATAGGAAAAATAGAAATGAGCTTTGAGAAGATTTCTAGGTGTCATTTTATTTGGAACCTTTTAGTTTGTGTGTTGTCTCATCTCCTGGTTTTGAAATAGAAATTTACTTACCAATATTTTTACATTTATAATTGCTATTTGAATTGTACAGTTACCCTCAAAAGGAGGAAGAGCMCCTGAGGGCAGCAGTCCTGCGTGCAGGCAAATTCTCATCCGTGCAGACTTGAGACAGCCCAGAATGTTGCTGTTGCTGTTACTAGTAACATACCTATGACTTCAGTAGCCTCAATACCTCAGTAGGGCAAATGATGGTTCTGCCTCAGAGTCTTCTGTTGTATGAGGCAGAGCTGGTGCGATTTTTAGACAAGAGAATGCAGAGTTGTCGAGTATATGAGAGGAGACAAGTCCTTGCCTGTGGGAAAAGATTAAAGGACTGGAAGGAAGAACTCCTTGCCTGCCAGGGTCATGTATGAACCCATATAAAGTGAAGGACCTATGTAGGGGTAGGGAGCTACATACAGTGCAAGTAGTGAATGAACGTTTCAGCCACTGGAAATTGTGTTCAGTTAGTTAAAAATGGGGGACTGTGCACAAAACCCTCTCCAGCCGACCCTGGTTGTACACATCAGTTTAGATTTTGTCGGGGACCAAGAGGTCTCGTGGTCCTGAGGTTCCTCCCTGACTACATTTTTATTGTTTTCTGTTTCTGTAGTCCTGTAGTGAGAAGAGCATGAATCTGCACGACTACGGGATGCTGCTGCCCTGCGGCATTGACAAGTTTCGTGGTGTGGAGTTTGTTTGCTGCCCGTTAGCGGAGGAGAGCGACAATGTGGATTCAGCTGATGCCGAAGATGATGATTCAGAYGTGTGGTGGGGAGGAGCTGATGCAGACTATGCAGACGGAAGGTAAGAGTGGCTTTCCTCCCTTAATTTTCTTAAAGATGCTTAAAATCTGTCTGAAAAAAAGTACTGAAGAATGATTACTCCTTATCAGTGACCTTTCTGCTCTAAAAAACTGCAATATTGCAATAGTGGAAAGCTACAGTATGCTGGCTTTGAAATGTCCTTGTTTATGGTAGACATTAGCTGTGTACGCTTGTTATTGCAAGGCTGTTTTTCTGCCAGCCATTTCTAAATGTGGTCTGAAACGTGACTTTAGGAAAGCCAGCTAGTGTCTAGATGGTGGCGATGTTTTATTAATATACTTTACACATGCTACAGTTAGAGGGGAGTTTTGCAAGACAGCAGTAGGCAGAAAACAGCTTACACCATGTGTTACTTTTCAGTGTCCTTTATGTATATAGACTAATTTTAAGCCAAACTTGAGTTAAGACGGTGTTAAAGCAAAGAGGTCTGGTGCCATCAAGGCCTTTTCATACCAATTTCTTGAACGCATTAGGTGGGGTTGTGAGAGCACAGTCTCATGGCCTCACAACTGAATTTTAACCATTCTAAGAAGAATTGCTTCATAAAATGAAGATCTAGGTTCAAATTCTTTGTGCTGTTTACACTTTCATCACTGCATACTGTACTAAAAAGGTTAGAGAATGCAGGGCTGCTGCTTCTTAGGGGATGATACTGCCTTCCCCTCCCCCCCGCCTTTCTTTTTTGAATAATGTACGATGTTTTAAACTTGAGGCAGATTAGAAATGAACCATAGGACCAAGTGAAGTGAATAATGTGGAAAAGTTGATAGTTCTGGTGTGTGTAATTTTAGGCTCTATTAACAACCAAGATGGGGACAAGTTCTTGGAACACTGTCGAGATGGAGGGGCAGAGACTGACTTGATATAATTTGATGCAACATGATGACATTAAGAAAGTGAAAAATTAGAAGACATTTGACAATGGGCATCTAAATCTTTAATGATTTTAAAAAATAGAAAGTGTTGTAGGGAAGAGTTCTGTAGGAATAATATAATAAAGTAAATAAGCTAGAGACTGTCTCCTGTTGTAATTCCCAGTTCTCTCTCATAAGTAGAAGAATAAGTGGTCTTGATGTAAGAAACCTGCATCGGGCAATGTTGTGTCATCCACCTTGATGCACTTAGGGGTTTTTTTCTGGCTTGGACTTCCAAGAGTAGTCACAGTACTGCAACYTAGAACCCTTCACTGAGATTTGGAAACTAACCTATGGACTGTTGCAGTGTCACTTCTTTGTATTTGGTTTGAATAGTTTTTAAGAAAAAAATATTCCAAGAATAGGGAGTGAAACATGAGTGCAGACTTAGTGCTAATAGGGGAAAAAAAAGGCTTTTTTTTCCTTTTTTTTTCCTTTATGAGTTTTCCCTTTTCATATGTTGCTCAAAGACTTCTAAAATAAGAGCTTTGTAGTAGTGCATATGCAGTAGTTAAATTCTGCATATAAGATGGCTATCACATTTATTTCTGTGTTGTTTCACATTTGAGACTAAACGTTTATTTGTTTTACTGTTCTCATCCATTTTGTTCCTCATAAAGCAGTTTAATATTCAAATAGATGGTTCAAGAGTAGCTTCAGAAATGCATCCTGGCGGAGTGGGAACTGGATTGCATTTGAATCCATTTCTGAAGTTCCAAGCAAGTACAGATGTTTTTTCTTCCACAGAGGTGCCCACAAAGTGTGAAAGGGTCTTTTTGTGGGGCTCTTGTGCTCCAAGGACAGGTGGAGAGCCAAGCACTTCTAATTCTTTCACACTGACTCATTTCTATCTCTTGTTGCCTCTTCAGCTTCCCAGCAGTATTTAAACCATGTATACTGCAGCTAGAAATAATCTTGAAACTTAATAACATATATTTTTTAAAAAGTAGCCATTGCTCATGCAATGCTACTTGGTGGCAGTTCAATTTGTGTGTGTATCTACACACATATAAATACACACATACACTCATGCATATATGCATGTACATTTGTGTGTATATAAATATATTCATATGTGTCAGCCTTGAACTGTTTAAAAAGGAGGAAAGAGGAGAATGGAAGTGAGAAGTACAGTGATACTTTCTCAATGCTTAAAGCAATTCTGTTGGGGATGTTGACTTCAGTCTACTTTTTTTTTTTAAACCATAAGTGGATAATCTTATACTTGCAATGTTTATTTCATCTCAAAGCCTTCCAAAGAGTTTAAAATCCTTCTATGTATAGGCACATAAGTGGGACACACTATAAAAGGAAGGTGCTGGTAGCTCTTGCATTAATTAATTTCAATAAAAATAAATAGTTGAAATTAGTAGCTATGTTAATAACAGTTATTATTAATAGTAATAGTTATCAGTGGTTATTATTAATAGTTAATAATGAATAGTTAATTGAAATTAAATAATTTCAGTAAACAACTTTTCATTAGCTATGAACTCTCTGAAGCAAAATCTTCTGTCAGAAGCTGTGGTTTCTTGGTAAAGCCCTGTTTTTGGCAAATCAGCTGAATAARGTATTTGTGGAAAAGGATCTGCTCAGGGATCATTAGAGCTTTTACTTGAGTCGGGTSAAGCAAGTGCATTTTGTTCCTGTCTTCCAAAGGCAGCTTTCAAGACTGACTTTATAAGTGAAGACACTCGTGGTGTGGATTTCAAAGGCAGGGCATGCAGTCGTTCTTGGGCTGCTTTTGTGGCCACTGTTCCAGTACTGCACAATAATGCTGGCCGTGCAAAGGCAGCAAGATCAGAGGATGTGAGCTGGTCCTTTCGGAGAAGTACTTTATGCTATTACTTTATCTTTAGAAACCTTTACTTTATCTTTACTTTATCTTTAGTACTATTTAGTACTATTTTAGTGCTATTACTTTATCTTTAGGTGGGTGGGTTCCTATCTGTGCTTCCTTAGCAATCCTATTGCTGCAGTTAGTGTTGGTCACTGCTGCCAGYGCTGGCCTCGGAGCAAGAGCCCTGGGCAGCTGCTTCACCCCCTATTGCTCCAAGGCTTTAACTGAAAATGGGCAGCATGGCAGCCCTTGGCGAAAGCATCATYCCTGGTGGGCTCGTGGCGACTCCCACTCGCGGCCGCTGCCGAAGCCCGGGCAGCTGGGGAGGGAGGCAAGTGGGCAGGCGAGGCCGGTGGGCAGGCGAGGCCGGGCGGCACCTGCGGCTCCTGGGCAGAGCGTGCGAGTCCCGGGCGCTCCCTCTTGCCGGGACGGAGCGGGGCAGCGGCCCCGCTTCCCTGCGGGAGGGGGGCAGCGGCCCCGCTTCCCTGCGGGCCTCGTGGCGTTAGCTCTGCGCAGGCGGTCGGTGAAGCGCTCCCGACTGCTTCAAGAAGCTCATGGCAAAGTGACAGCGATGCGCTCGAGATAGCGGTGCCAGCCTGAAAAGCAAATGACTGTATCTGCGTTTCACAAAATTGCTTTGGTGACAGAACAGGAGCCARTAGATGTAGATGATGGGTTTTAAAATAACTTGGTAGCTCACACTGTTTGGATCCAGATTTGAATATGTCTGCTTTTATGGCGCTGAATGCTTAGAGGAATCCCTGCCATCGCTCACTCCTTTCGTACATGCCTTTCCCAGGCTGTCCCATGTTTTGGCTCCCAGCAGCCACCTCTGGAGCGGAGAGTTTTCCTGCATGCCATGGGGCGGGCGCCTTTGTGCGGTGGGTCCAGCTTGTGCTGGACATGGAGCTCCGAGCCCTGCGGGGCGAGAGCAGCTAGTGGGAGACRTGTCCCCCATGCTCATGCTGAAGTGTCATGTCCTGCCTGTCCCCACGTTGCCCCTAGCTCTGGCTAGGGGATCACGGGTGCCTTCAGATGCACCCTTCTTCATAGTTATCCTCATTTTAATTAAAAATTAAAATGAGAGCCACCTGAGGGATGTAGCTGCTGCCTTCCAGGGCAGCTGCAGAGCCAGCTCTCTAGCTGCAGGTCAGCCGGATAACCCACGGGGCCGGATTGCCCTTGAGACTCAGCCCAGCTCCGGGTTGAAAATTTCCAAATTTTCTTTATGTGTCTCTTAGTGCCTCTCCTCTGCACTAAGTAATCCACAGTAACACAGTCTGCTTTCTTCTCTCTGTTCGTCCTTTTTGCCTTAGTGGTAGGCACATTGGAAAGCTCTTCTTGATTGCTTTCTTCAATTCAGAAGTATTGTCAGAGCCTGCTATTTTTCCCTAGCGTGGGGGATTGTGGGGGGATTGTGCGTGTGGGGGATTGTGCAAACAGCATAATCCTGTGTGCCYGTTATGCTTCCAGATGAGATCCTGTGCTTCTGGATGTCAGTTTTGTTTTAACATTTGGGGGATGGGGGAATCACAGGCACCAGGCAGAGCTACTTTTTTGATTAATCGTTTTATAAAGATTCCTGCCCTTCTTTTTTTCAGTGCCTAGCTCTTTTTATGTCATCTTAAGTGGTAATAAGATGCCAACACATATTTTTCTTTACCTAATTTACTCACTTTATAAGTGCCGAGAAGTTAACCTCAGCATCAGTTCASTTATAATCAAAATTCCCTAGGATGTTGTCATTAAATCAGGGTGTCACAAGGTGTGTTTAAATTGGCCCTGGTCATACAGTGCCCTGGCTTAATGTAGCAACACACTAAACCCTCCTGGCATGTTGGACTCCTGCCTTGACATAAACTAGGCAGGCTAAATAGAGAGGTAATTTGGATGTCTGCCTGTGGCAAATATTTGTGAAAAGTTCTTAAGCCTAAATAGGGACACAGAGGAAGGAAACTCAGCAGGCCCAGAGACACAGCATCGCGAGCGGAGGGCGTCTCGTGGCTCCCCTCTGCACCAGGGGACTTGCAGGTGGTTGAAGGGTTTCATGGTAGATCTTAATTTGCTTTTCTTTGTTATTTTAACTAAGCCAGCATCAGTTTACAGACATAATATTGCTGTGTGCCTTTGTACCTGTTGCTGTGAATATCTCTTGCTGTTGCTACATTTCACATTTTTATGTGATTTGAGTTTCTCTCTCATGAAGGCAATGTTTTAGCACTGGGT